AACGACGTCTGAGCCCGTCACTGCAGCTTCCAAACCTTCCAAACTTTTTGTTTTTTTTAATCCTTCCATCACTTTCCAATCTATACCAGCAGTATGGTAAACCTCAGGGAGTTATTTTCCTTCCTTCTCATCCTGTGACCGGAGATGATAGGAACGAATGGTTGTGAAAACTGCTTAGAAACCGGACCTGAAGCACTGAAAACCGTCTGCCTTCCCTCAGCGTCCATGACCACTGTGATGGCTCTCAGGAGCACAGACTCATTGATATGAACTTTGTTCAGAATTTGGGTGTCAGGGCTACACGCACGGGAGAGCTGTGCACAGGGTGTTTGGTGTGCTGTGATTGGTCAAGAGTCTCGCGCACGAACTGGACACGAGGCCAGAAGACCCACGCTGGACTGTTTGTTTAATGCAGGAGTCCACCATTTTTCTCCACGGACATCTCAGAGTCCTAATGTCCACATTTCTGTGCTATGGCGTGCGTCTTTGAGAATGCATTTTATACTAAACCACGGTTTACAGTTTCAGGGGTTCCCCCACAACGTGTGTGTGCGTGTGTGCGTGTGTGCGTGTGTGTGTGTGTGTTTTCATTTGGGATTATTCATTTTTGTCCTGGCCAGACAACTTGTGCAGTTTGCTATTTTTCCCTGAACCAGCCCCATACAGAGTGCCATGTCTAGCGCCATTTTTTTTTTTTTACAAACTTTTTAAGTCACTGGAGGATAGGAGGAGCCAGAGAGCCCAGAGTCATGAGGTTTAAGGAACAAAACATAGAGATTTTGGGTCCATGGGCTGGAACCTCCCCTGATCTTAATCCCATTGAAAACTAATGGTCAATCATCAAGAGACGGGTGGAAAAACGAAAACCTAGGAATTCTGACAAAATTCAAGCATTGATTGTATTTCTGTATGTGATGACAACATCTGACATACACACATGGAAACCTAATATTTGTGTCATTCTCAATACTTTTGGCCATGACTGTACAGTCCCACAGCAGCAGAGCGCCACATTCACTATGGCTTTAGCCGCATGCGGGACGCTCTTAGCGCTGTTTGTTACTTTTAGCGCGCTCCTGGAGGCGGATGGACAGGTAAACGACATATTTACCTTTTTATTCAGCAGGTGCACTGGCAAGTTTATGTTGTTTTTCTTGCTCGCAAATCAATCTGCATCAAGCCACGCACATCTCATTTTAAATGGATTGATTTCAGATGTTATAAGCTATTTTGCTATCTAAACTGCATGGGGTTTGAACTTCATTAGCAGGTGTGAACTATTCGTTTAAATGAGAGCAGCTGCAGGAAATATAGACTATGACAGTGTTCCTAAAGTATTCTCAAACTTGTAGCTGTGCAGTTTGAAAAGAGATGCATAAGTGAGCGCTTTTTACTTAATTAACATTCTGGAGTAACTGTATTTAGCCACCATGGTAAGGAGATGATGACAAATTGAAGTTTTCATAATGAAATGCTATGAAAATGGAAAAGGTTTCCTCTGCGTGGATTGATACCAAATTGGTGACTAATCTGGAATCTGAAAATGTTGATATATGAGCCCCTAGTGAAATTCAGTAAGGGGGAAAAGGCTTTACTTTGCCACACTACTTGGTCTGTCACCCTTCACATCATCCATGGCTCATTCATCAGGAATGGGCGGGGAAACCTTTTACAGCTAAACTGAGCCAAATCACTTGAACTCATAACCATGAATTGTTTTGGTGATGCTAAGACAGACATGATTTCAACAGAGAATACTTCAATTCAACATTGGTGATTTATCGAATGTTAAGCGTACTTGACAAACAGTCTGCAAACCACATCAGAACACATGTTTTAATGTTTCTGAAGAGCTGTTTGTAAAATCCATTTTTAGTGAAAGAATCCCACATTCTCTAGACAGTGAAAATGGCCAATGCAAGAAAAAAAAAAACAGGAAAAAAAAAGCCATAAAGATTGAGGAGTCTTGGAGAGGAGGAGGCAAATCCTTTTGGCTGAGTTAAAAGGCCACAGCCAGACCCCTTTTTCTCTCCCCTCCTCCAGTTCACGTCTTGTGTCAGCCAATCTGTACGTTCTTATATGCCCCCATCTCAACTGTGAGCACTTAGTGCGTGAGATCATTGCTTTAACTGAATGTAGACAGCTGCTGTTTGTTGTACTCCTTTTCTTGTGTTATTCTCTTTTTCTTTGTCAAAGAAGCCTCCTCAGAGCTCCAGTGCACGCTGTTTGCAACTGTGCTGCCATGCCTTCACACCTGGAAGCTGCTTAGTGCAATCACAGCTCACCACTGTTGACCAGTGAATGGCGTTTTCCAGCAGTTTAAACTGAAATGCCTTCCTCTTGGGATTTCAACGGCAGCTGTTCATTGAGAGGAGAGTGTAGCACTTTAACTCTGTCCTCGCACTTGTCATCGGCTTGTCACGCTAAAATTCCTCTCAAAGGTTTATGAAACAGGACGGATAAGGATGAGTGCCTATCTGTGAGGGGTCTGGCGGAGGACCTAGTATTGGAAAAACCTATGTCTTGCCTCTCTTGTCGGCACATGTCATTATCAGAAGCTCTGAATGTCTGTGTTCACATGTTTTTCCGTGTGAACGTGTGTGAGGCAGGAACACCTGCATGCCACGTGAACAACAGTGTGGAAGAAGCAGAGACGTGATCATGTAAAATGGCACATTTCATATCTCACCAACTGGTGAAAAATCAATGCGGGATGCCTGGAAGAATTCCAAATGAAATGTGAATCAATGCCATCTCCAGCAATGTGTATTGGGATAACTGGATGTCTTTAGCACAAATGATTTAGATATATATTTCTCTCTCTTTATATTCATTAGAAAAGGTTTAACATTGATTTAAGTTGTATGGGTTTCATTGTTCTTTGCTCCTCTTGTTTGCATATACGTTTCTATAGCCTGATTCTTCAGTCTGGCCAATGTCTCAACGCGGCGTCTACGTGTAGATGTTTATGACATTACAGGATCTAAATCACAGTATTTTGTGTTACCTTTAAATATGTCCGACTTGAAAATACAATTGTTGAAGGCAGTACGAACCAACGCACCACCGTGCAGCACTACGTTACACAAAAAGCCTTTTGTGCCTAACTTACTTCCATTGAATGCAGCGTTTTATTATAATAATAATAATCACACACAGTATATGTTAAAAACTTCAAGATTCAACACTCAAGTGTTTTTCTTTGTCTACAAAAATACTTTTATCCTGATTTTATTTTTGCCGTCAATAAAATGACTTTTTATCGTGCCTATGATCTTTTTAACTTCACGCCAGGTGAACTTACTTCAGGATCAAAGAATCCAAAGTTTATAGGAAAAAGCAGAGTTTCACACTCTGAAGGAAGAAATGTAAAAATTGTGGAAGAAGACTAATAATGATCAAATGGTGTTTTAATGGCTCTTGTTGCCCCCTGCTGGTCAGAAGAAACGGGCAGGAAGCAGTTGGACCTGTTTCACACAATAAATGAAATGTTCCTTGAAAGCCTTCTAAAGCAAATAGAGACGAAGACGACGGAGTATATTTTGTCCGAATAAAATAAACTTTCATAAACAATTCACCTTTCTTCTTTCTAAACTCAGTTGTTCATATTTATTCCTCATTGTGCTTTCCAAGGGGAGCTATTTTAAGGTTTTATCTCTAGGACCTTTTTTTTCGTTCTTTATTTTTCATCTTTATTTTTTTTTCTTTTTTTTTTCTTTCTATTTTTTTCTCTTTTGTCATATTTTCTTATATTTTTCCCCTTTTTATTCTCCCTTTTTTCTTCTTTCCCACCTAGTTTTGTTCCTATTTGGCTGCTTGACCATTACAGGACCCCTAAGCCTGGTCTGTACTTCACAAATGGTTTAGTACGCTTTATGAACAGTTTTTCTCCAAGGCGGGTTCAGATTAGGGAAAAACTGACGACATGCAGCAAAGTTGTGCTGATGTGAAGAACAACTGTAATTTAGATGGACTTTTACATCTGTTTTACATCTGTAGATGGACTTTTACATCTGTCCTCTACAAAGTGGCTTAATCTCCAACATATGACAGAGTCACTCCACACTTCATTCCTATTTGATATCATTAAGTAGAGTTTAGTGTGATCATTATGTAGTTGCAGATGTGGAGAACAAAAACGTATGAGTTTTTTTATGTAAATAGTTAATGTTAAGCTGACTTGTACCTCATTTCCTGCTACTGCAAATAACAAGACTGTCCCACATTGCTTCTCACAGTCACAGAAGCAGTTTTCTCTCCTGTTTTAATCTCTGTATAAAGTATCTGTTCATGGAGATTTGTGAGAATTACCATCATGATCTTTAACGTGTTAAACAGAACAGGTGAGGTGAGCAGTAAGACAGAATAATGTGGTTTGGCTGTGATCCAAAAACAACAGCATCACAAGAGGAGAGTGTGTTTACACTGATGTGATAGACAGTCAGAGTTTTTCTCTGTTTTTACTTTCAATTTGCAGCCTATTGATAGCAGGTAACTTGTATCCCTGTGACTTACCAGTTGTTATAAGTCTGGTTATCCGATCCCTATGAGAAAAGTCAAAATATAGAACTATTCTTATATCAATTGAATCAATAAAAATGTCCTTTAAATCTGAGAAAAAGCCAAAGAATCAGGCTCTTCTGCAATATAATAATTTTATAAAGTATCTGTTCATGGACATGTGTGAGAATTTAACATGTTAAAGATCATGATGTTAATTCCCATAAGTTATAGTGAGGCAAACTGCGTTTTAGTTTGTTTTGAGGAGGGGAATTTGAGGCTTGATAATGATCAGCCTCGACTTGTTTTCGCTTTTGTCACAGATGGAGCTGCTGTTTTTATTGTTTTAACATCCAAACCGGTTCTTCCCCTGGTTCCTCTCCTCCCCCAAGCACACCTCCTACCTCCACATAAACAGTAAAGGGAACAGACTATGTTTAGTTTCAAATTTGTAAAGTAAGGAAGCTCGTCTTAGATAAAAACTTTGGATTGGATTGTAAGATTGCACTGGAACAGGTTTTGGATCAGAACAGGAACCAGAAGGACCACCAGCAGGTAAATCTGAACTCGTTCTCACACCTTTTAAGGCACAAAATATCACAGACGTTTCATCTTTTTCCTTCTTCATTTCTTTTTCCTTCTTCATTTAAGAAAGAAACTGTACAAAACCTTTTTGACGTAAATGTTAAGCAGACAAAGCTAAACCAGCCTCTAAACAAACTTTCATTAAAGCCAAAAGTAGAAAAAATCTGCAGCAGCCAGTATGGCCTCACCTGTCCAGGTGCGTAACCAGGACATAGATCAGGGAGTTTCTGTCCTAAAGTTCCAGCTGGTGGCAGTTTGGTGTCTAACAAGCTGAAAAATTGTCACATTTTTTATCCACTTCAGCTCGAAGTGACCGATCGAACAATACATTTGTGTTTAAATCCGACAAATGCTCGCTGCTCATGACTCTGTTGTTATATGTCACTGAGCTACCAGCCAATCACAGATCGGCCTTTTTGTTTAATTGAAAACACAACTGAAGTTGGATTCAGTGTGTTGGACGTCTCCTTGTGGTTAACAGGATGTTCTAGAGGACATTCTCCCCTAAACCAGCTCTAAAATAAGGTTTTGGTACGTGATGCTTTTACTGAGTGTTTCAAAATGTCCCATTTTGACCAGGAAGTGTGAATTTGTCTCTCGTAAGAAGCAAAGATTTCCTCCTGTTCTGCCTTCGTAGCTTTTATTTAGACTCTGTCACGTTAAAGTTTCTCCTCTGTCTCCTCTCTCAGGATGAAGACGCTCTGC